TGGATGGATGAGTAGGTAGTTAAATGATGGATGGATTAATTCCTGGATGGATTTGTTGTGGGAGGATGCAGGAAGTCATCCCCATGTGGACCACTGTGAACTATAAAGATGAATTAAGTCTACATACTTTGCCTGGGACATTCCCAGGTTTTTTGTTTGTTTGTTTTTATCTGGTTGGTTTTTTGTTTTTCTTTTGTTTTTGAGATAGGGTCTCTCTACATAGCCTTGGCTGTCCTAGAACTTGCTATGTATAGCAGAATGGCCTTGAATTCACAGAGACCTGGCAGCCTCTGCCTCTTGAATACTGGGATTAAAGGTATATGCCACCATGACTGGCAGATAGTTTTAAGCACTGAAAGTTCCCCATCTCAGGAACTCATCAATCCTGGATAACCACCCCAGACCTAAAATAAAAGTGAAGAAACCAGAATTCTCCTCAAGTAACTGATTTCTCTGGGACCCTCGCAAGAAGTGCTTGGGAATGGTCTCACAGGGTTGGGCTGTGGAGATGAGGGCATATGAAAGGTAATGCAGCTCACATTTAGTTGATAGGCGCTGTGTGTAGCATGAATCTTAAAGAGTCTTATTAATAAAGCAAACCCAGAGCCAAGTATGGGGTCAATGCTGGAAGATCAGAGAAGCAGAACAGGCCACAGCCACCTCACCTTGCCAATTCCTCAGATGATCCTGTTTCCTCACACTGGAAGCCTCTGAGTCCTTATCCAGAATGAATCTCAGCTGAACTGCTACTAGAAACCTAAAAGCTTAACCAGCCCTAGTTCCTGGTCCTCACGTCTTACATACCTTTCTGCTTTCTGCCATCACTTCCTAGGATTAAAGGCGTGAGTCACCATGTCTGGCTGTTTCCAGTGTGGCTTTGAACTCACAGAGATCCAGGCGGATCTCTGCCTCTGGAATGCTAGGATTAAAGGCGTGTGCTACCACTGCCTAACCTCTATGTTTAATATTGTGGCTGTTCTGTTCTCTGACCCCAGATAAGTTTATTAGCGTGCACAATATTTTGGGGAACACAATACCACCACAGCTGTCCTTGCCTGCACAGCTCCTCTGAGCCCTCACCAGACACCACGAAACAAGTTCTCCCTCATCCCCACACTGTAGTCATCTGTCAACCACAGCTGAGTGCCTCGAGTCCAGCCTAGGCCAGGCACGGACCTGGAATATGGAGGAGCAGATGGATGCATAAAGTAACTGCATAAAAGCCCACCTCCGTCTCTCCTGACAGCTCTGTCCTCCGTGTTGCTTGGACACTCCAAACTAGTTTCTGCCCCAGGACCTTTGTACACGCCGTCCCTTCCAGCAGCGTTCTTTCTCTGGTTCTATCTGGTTCTGTCCTCCGCTCAGCAGTCCATCTCAGAGCCCTCCCTCCACATCCTTCCCCCCTCAAATATACCCGTTGGTATTCTTTAATATGACACTGGATAGATGTTGTTGTGTTATCTGGCTTCCCTTGGCATATAAGCTTCACGGGGACCATTGCAATGTCTTGTTTATTGCTCTATCCTGGAGGCATAGAGTAAGTGTTCTATTAAGTGATTATTTGAATGAATGAAGAGGTGAATGAATGATTTTGCAGGAAGCAGCAGGCACGTGTGACCTGCAGTGTTCCAGGTTGGAAAGAGGGGGACCTGATCCAACTCCCCTGAACCCTGAGGTTAATCACCCCATCACTAGCATCAGTCACACCTGGTTGTTGCTGCCCCCGCCCCAACCCCAGCTTCTGTGTGGTAGCCTGTGAGGGACATGTGAGTGATGTGGTCACTGACATTTCCTAAAATTCAGCAGCTCCAGCTCCAGGTCCCCTGAGTGTGCTCTGGCCCTAGATGAGCAGCTGGTACCACTAAGCTCAGGCAGCTGAACGAACAGAAGGAGAGAGTGGTGGGCGGGGCCAATGGCTGGGGTAGTATGTGCCAACTTGAGACAAGCCGGAGTCATTTTGGAAGAAGGAACCTTCACTGAGAAAATGTCCCTATCAGACTGACCTGTGGGTACGCCTGTGGCGCATTTTCTTGAGTCACAATTGGTGCGGGAGAGCCCGGTTCACTGTGAGCAGTGCCGCCCCTGGGCAGGTGGTCTCAGGTGGTGTGAGAAGCAGGCTGAGGAAACCATGGGGGAGCAAACCAATAAACAGAGTTCCTCCACGGCTTCTGCTTCAGTTCCTGCCTTGAGTTCCTGCCCTGACTTCCCTCAGGGATGGGTGTGATGGGGATGTGTAAGCCAAACAAATCCTTTCCTCCCCAAGTGGCGTTGGGTCATGGTGTGTTATCACAGCCGTAGAAATCGGATTGTCACCCCTGCCTGTCAAGCAGAGAGCTAGGCCACCATGTCACCCAACTTCTTCATGGGGCAGAAGCAGAGGGGACGTCCCGGTGGCCGCTGCTGGGAACCCCAGTCCAGTGAGAGGAGGGACACTGAGGACAGCCAGAGGTCAGTAGTAAGGCATTGCCGGGGAGGACTGGGTGACCCCCACAGGGACTGAGGCAGATGGGGGCAGGACGAGAAGGAGGACGTGTGGTAGGTTCTTCAGGATGCCCTGCCCTTGTTCCAGTAGTGCCCAAGACTGGTAGCCTGTAAGTCAGGCGCATGTAAAGTCACAATCTTTTGACTCCATCAGAGCTTACCCTCTCGGGCTGGGTCTGAGTTCCTGAGCTCATAAAAGCTAGGTTTCCAGCAGCTGTAGCTGGAGGGGCTGTGGGAAAGACCCAGGAGGCAGGAGAGCTTGACTAACAGCAGCCTTGAGGAGGCGCGGCCTCCTGGAGAGAAGGCTCAGGGCCTCTAGAGATTGAAAGCTGCTGGAAACCTGCAGGCAAAGTGGGAACCCCAGCCCTCCCACAGCAGTGAACAAAGAGTTCTGTGCCTGCAGTCAGGACTAGCCTGGAAGCCCACCCTCCACCCCATCCCAGCCCCGAGCATGCCAGGCTGGACTCCTGATGGGGCAGTGGTTAGAAGCCACACACTTTGTGGTAAATATAAAACCAATGTGGCAGGGTTTGGATACTCAGAGAAGGAAACAGAAACTCAAACCCCAAGATGGTGTAAGCAATGGCCCCTGGCATGAGACACGACTTAGGAAAGAGGCCGCCCCCCAGACATGGCCTGCATGCCAGGCTGCGGGGTGGGAACTTCATTTTCTGGCACAGGAGAGCTACTGAAGATAGAGGAGAGAGAGATGGACACCAGAGGTGGACCCTGGATGAAGT